AATCTACCACAACAAGATCAGTGGAGTTCATAGTGTGTTTGACCTTAGATGGTAAAACCTGATGAATCTGAGCCTCAGTTTAACACAGAACATTAACATAACTTTAAACCCAGGTTCCTTTGTCGGTAACAGAAGCTTAAAAATGCACAAACAAATTTGTAATGGTTAAATCCACAATATTTCCGGCTAAAGCATTTTGTAAATCTGAACTGTGCACATGTACACCAGCAAAAGGACCATAGAGTATCTGATGCAGATGCACTTTAATATCCAGAATTATGCAAGCTAGTCCCACTGCTGGCCTTCTCCCTTTCCACTGACACGCAAACACACACAATGGGTTATAAATGCACAAACACATCATATACCAAATTCATTTCTGCATATTGAATAAATTTTACCTTCCAGGTAAAAAGAAATGTACTTATAAGGTAACATCCTGTTTGGTTCCAATGTGAATCCGTGCACCATATGTGTGTAAATCAACTTAAAACAAAGAACAGGATTCAGTCTGCCAACAGTCAAATTTATGTTTTTGTGATTTCAAATAAGACAGTGATTTTGTACTTCAATTTAACTTAAGCTTCAGAGAATAATGTATTGTCTATGTTCAATACATATATAATAAATAATAAATTGTTGTGCTATCATTAATAACATCTTTACACTCTTATTGTTTTCATTATAACTAGTCAGAGCTGAAACCTGATGGTGCACAACTGTTCCTGGTCTCTCGCTCTCCTCTCTCTCCTCCCCCTCACCCCATCTCTGTCTCTTATCTCTCCTCTCATTCACCTTTTCTCTGCTTACCCCAACCGGTCAAGTCATATTGACATTGAGTCTGGAGAGGTCTCTTCCAGTTAATGAGGGAATTTTTTCTCTCCACAGTCGCCAAAGTGCTTCTCATTGTGGGAACTGTTGGGTTTCTCTATACATTTGAAGGTCTTGACCTTCTATGTAATGTGCTTTGAGATAATGTATGTTATCATTTGGCGATATACAAATAAAATTGTATTGAACTGAATATATAAACTGTACTGTAAGAACAGATGCCTGGTCTATATTTTGTTAAATTCTGGACTCGTTTGAGTTGATGGATGTATGGATGGGTTTTTTTCTCACTGAAGCTTGTAGAAGGGAATCAACCTGTTTCACATGTCACTTAAACATAAACTTGTGTTGTTCAGGCCTGGTCTGCCTGCAGTCTTCAGCTATATAAACTACACTACATGAGGAAAAGTCTACATAATACTTCAGCTGTTCTTTTGTATCCAGGATGTATCACAAGAGAATGTGTCATGGTATATTGCAGTTGATGATATCTCCCCCTAATCATCACTGTTTTGTCCAACCTTTTGATTGTCACACCAAGAGGCTACAGTTCAGTTCCTGTGTATTGTAACTGAGGGAGCTCTAACAAAGCTGAACCTACTTCATGGTGAACAAGCTTGCAGGGGGGTTGAGCTGTAGTTTTGATGTCTGCCACGTCAGCCTGGGGTGTTTTTGACTTGCAATCTGTGAAATAGAAACTAGAACACTAATGGACTGATCAATACTCCATTAATAACACGGAAATATTGGATTGCAGGACGAACTCTGACTTATGGTATCTGTTGTTTTTTTAAAAATACAATATTTCAAACATATGAGTTACATTCACACTTGCATATCATCCGTATACATGTTCTGGTTGTCTGGATTGTGGCCATATACGTTTGAGAGAAGTAACCGGAAACATTTGTGGCAGCAAATTAAACCTTATCAAGTTTAATTTTCATACCAAAACCTAAGGTGTCCTTTACACTATTGAAGGAATGGCTTTTTGTCATGATGACATTCTTTGAGAGACATTTTCAAAATAAAAATGACAGACTTTTTTGGTGCTTTCTTCAGAGACTCATTACATTATATGTCTTTTATTTTCAGATGTAAGACTCCAAGAAGATGCCTTATAACTATGTTTGTTGTTAATTATTTATTTTGGCATTATATGTTTCCCATATGATTAAAAATGCAAGAATAAATACAAAACATTTAAAATACATATGGGATGATACTTTCAGGCAAAGTCTTATAACAAGTACATTTGAAGTACTATTTTTCTGCTGCCACATTATAGAGGTGAAGGGTTTTCAAAGGGATTAACTATAAAATAAAAATTTGGGGGGGGGGGGAAAGTTTGTAAAGATATAAATGGAAAGATGAGATATGTTCAAAAATGTCTGATTGTCACTGACTGAGGCTGAATGAGGGATAGTGAGAATGTGTATGTTTGTGAATCTGTCAGATGGATATGATGCTCCTTTTCAATTTACCTGACTGACACACGTGACTGGTGTACATTCAGGAAGTGGTTGTGGCTCTGCGGTGGATTGGTTGAAGGGGATCAGTAAGTCAGTGGGAGCAGTCACCAAACAAATCCTTCTTATTTTTACCTCACTCTAATCCAAAACCTTTGACCTCAGCTCACCTCTCACGCTGCTAAAATGTACCATCTTCGACAGCTTAGCTCACTTTATAGGCTCAACGTGCTGCGCTGACTGTGAACAGCTTAGAGCGTGCCACTCAGACGCTGCCAACGTGTGTGTATGCGTATGTGTATTTGTGTGTGCGCCAAGTTTAGGTGAGAGTGGTTTCATGTCTTTTAACACTGACGTTTCTGCCCCAGGAATAAAAAGCCAGACTGTGGAGATGGATGATGGGAAGGCGGGGTATGTCGGGTCAAAGGTGGATCTCCGCTGTCGGTTCGTCAACAGCTTCCCACCTGTCAAAATCTCCCAGGTATTCAGTTGTCCTCTTGAACATGTGGATTACATTACATTAAACTCCCAAATCCGATGATACTATAGACACTCAGAGCACAGATTCCAGATTTCAGCATAAAGTCTGTCCATCTCTTAAACATCCAGTTTGATTTAAATTTGATCTAATCAGAAACCTGATTTTCTGAAATGTCTGTATTAAACTGGATTGGTGGTTTTACATGTGTGACAAATACTTCAGGAATCTGTTCTGAAAGTGACAGTGATCCTGAAATGATCCTTTAACTGAAACATTTGAATACAATATCATTTTTAACACTTGATTCTAACCTGCACATTACACTGGTTTTTAAGACAGTCACAACAGCCAATCTTACATTTCAAGTCTTAGTGAGCTCCTGTTTAAATTGATTTGATAGAAATTAAAGTTAAGGTTGTCCTTTTTAGTATCAAGTCAGATTTTTTTACTTACATTTGGTCCATCTTAGGTAACATGGCAGAAACTGGTGAATGGCACCAAGCAGAACGTGGCAATCGCCAACCCCTCCCTGGGTGTGTCCGTGGCCCCGCCCTACAGGGACCGCGTCACCTTCAAGAACGCGGCAGTGAGGCGACGCACTCCGACCCTTGAAGACACCACTATCACCTTCTCCTCGCTCCGCCTCTCTGACGAGTCCACCTACATCTGCGAATACACCACGTTTCCTGCAGGGAACAGAGAGAACACTGTGAACCTCACAGTCTACGGTAAGACACACGTATGATGATCTGAGCTTTAATAAGATCACACTCACATATGACAGAGGTTGCTGAATATTAAGATTTTTGTATGTTTATTAGTATAGCATATTGCCACATACAACATGAATCATTGGCTAAGCTCTTTTGCATTGTCTGTCCATTGATGGGCTTTTAAAATACATAAAAGGAAGCAATACAAAACACAAAAGCTGTGGATCAAGGGGCCACATCCTTCCAGCCTGTGTGGTTGTTTGTCACACATGTTTCCTGTCTTTCCTTTCAATATTGACCAACATGCAGGTTTGATGCATGAGACTTGTTTGGATTAACTAGTCTTCACTGATTTATTACTGTTAGATATACATGAACTCTTTCCATGGTCAATAATGAACAAACTTAAAATACCATATTCTGTTTATGATTTGGAGTAAAGTCAATTTATTGCTGAATGCCATGTCTGCATTTCACATAGAAAAGTATCCAACATTTTTGTCTTAATCTTTTCTTTTTATTCTTTTAATTTGAGGCTTAATTTGGAATATTTAAGGGATTTTTTTGGAAATGTCCAGTTTTGTGCAAATACAAGATTAATCGATGAGAGACAGCTTTTACCTGTCCTCATGTTGGACAGGCTTTAAATCATACATCACAACATTTTCTCGTGTCTGATCATCTCGATGCTTCTATTCATTTTTATTTCCCCAGTTCGCCCGACGACTCAGATGAGTCTGTCCACCCCGACCCTGGTGGCTCGTTCGTCCAATCTGAAAACACCTGTGGCCACCTGCATCTCTGCCAATGGAAAACCACCTGGTATCATTAGGTGTGTGTGTGTGATTTAGAGTTATGAGGAGTGTTTTCGCCCCCCTTTTATGGAGCAGGTGTTATGGTTTGCGTTGCTACACCATCATAGAGGTTTTATCCAACTACTAGACTTTTGTCTTCTACACATCCATTAATGAAACCCTTGACTTTTATTTAGAGTTCATTGACAAAATCTATGTACATCTTCGTTTGATTGATTCCTTGTCGCTGTGAGCAGGTGGGAGACAAAGGTGCCAGGAGAGGCGACCACTCGAGAGTACAGAAACTCAGACGGGACATTCACTGTTCAGAGTGACTACATCCTGGTGCCCAGCAAAGAAACACACAAGGAGACGCTCACCTGTGTCACCAGCTACAACGAGGAAGTCTATACTGACAGTGTCACCCTCGATATCCAGTGTGAGTCTCGCTCATTCGCAACAATAACCTAATAACTACAGTCTCTAAATCTAAATTAATTTTCCCTTTGTGTGTGTACTAGATGAGCCAGATGTGTCAGTGGACGGCTTTGATGGAAACTGGTATCTAAACCGAGAGAACGTCCAGCTGAGCTGCAAAGCTGATGCCAATCCATCCGTCTCTCTGTATCAGTGGAAATTGTGAGTACAACTCACTGTACTTCACTCACATTTGCTCTTTCTTACTTTATAGAAAACAGTGAAATGGAGAAATAAGTTTTTCCTGTACAAGATGCGAAATTCAATGTTTCTTACCTTCATCACGTCGGTGTCTGAGGCTGATAATTTTTTCTGTCACGTGTCATGTGACTGACATATCACCACAGTTAGTAAGTGATTTGAAGTGGGATGAGGGCCATCTCCTTTTAAGCAGAAAAAAATAATAACCTGCAGATTCAGCCATCCCCTCTCCCCCTATGAGAGAGTGCTGTGTGTGCAGGTAGACAATTTGTTTCACGATGTGTTTCCGGGTTATTTGAGTGTAATATTCTGTGTTCTGCAGGATTAATGGCTCCATACCGAACAGTGCTGAGATCCGTGACAACGTCCTCACCTTCAAAGGGCCGGTCACATATGACCTGCAAGGTACATACGTGTGTGACGCCACCAACAGCATCGGGACACGATCGGGCTCTGTGGAGGTCAGCATCATAGGTACGTTCACCTGAACTCTGGAGACATTTGATTTGATGATAAGAGAAAAATTAATAAGTGAACAAGTATTCCTGCCAACATTACTTCATGCTGCCGCTTTGTGTTGTACTTTTCTTTACACTCACATTTTATTAATTCTTACTGTACTTTCATAGTTACTTTGAAAAGTATATGTGCATGTTTGAATTTTTATTTTGTTTCTTTCTCTGCAGAAAAGCCTCTACCCCAGATAGCAACAGGCGATGTCATCAGTGTCATCGCCTTATTGCTGGCTGCCGGAGTGCTCATGGGCATCACTATAACAGTCCTGGTTCTCAAAATCAGAAGTAGAAAGGACAACTCCTCGTATGTAAACACCACATTATCTTTTCTCCCGTTTGTTTCGCCTGCTCTTTGTCCCAATATGGTTTGTGTCCTTCACTACCATCCTCATCATCCATCTTTTATTCTCTTTTCCCCCCTTGATCAGAAATGATTCTCCGTCCAGAAAACCGTCGCAGCCGATAAGGAAAAGACCAGGAGACGATATCCAGGTACACAGTGTCATGTATCTATAATTCATATACAGCTCTAGAAAAGTATTTGTCCTTATAATAAAGTTGTGATGGCAGGTCCACATTACGTGGTATAAATTGTGCATATGAAACATATCAGTCTTCTCTGGTGCCAACAGACAACAACAACTTCACCCTCTCCCTCCATCTCTGTTTGTCACAAACAAAAGAAGCCATTACAATGCATCCCTTCACAAATTGCAAGTAGTCTCTACATCAGTCTTCATCCTTAATATTCCAGTGTGAAGTTTCTGTTGTGTTTCAGTCAGTGTGTTCATGAAGTTTAATTGTGCCGAATGCATTTTTTCCTCCCAAAGCAGATTATTTAGAACATTTTGAAAGCTGTAGTATTTACATCTATGTTTACTAGCAAGCAGTTTTATTTTTCTCTATCTTTGTTGGCAAATTGCTGCATTTCTTGATACAACAGCAAACCTAAGGTCAGTGAAATAGCATGAAAACCCTTGGCAGGAAAGTTTATTGTGTCACAGATGAGCTCATCCTCATGAGAATGATGAGTATAAAACATTGATTCGTAGTACTGCTACAAGCTCAGAAACTCTAAGAATAATGTAATCATAACAATAAGCTTTTAAGCCTTTCTTAAGTAAGTAACAAAGGTGCTTCACAATAGGATAAAAGATAAAAAATACAATGAACAACAAAAAGTAATTCAATAAAATAAATTGAAATTGAATTTTTAAAAGAACATTCTATGAAGGGATTCAAAAGCAGTGATAGATGTAAAATTTCTGATCTCAGCTGGGAAGTCCATTCATGAGTTTGGGGGCATGTAATTACTATATATACCTACCAACTGGGATTGACCAGAAGTCTATCAGTGGATCTAAGTGCAGGCACATAAGCAGTTAGTAATTCCTTGATATACACAGAGGCTTGGTTGTGTATAGCGATGAAAGTCATCAGTACAATCTTAGGATCAAAGCGAAAACAAACAGAAGGCCAATGCAGCGAGGCTACAGTGTTAGGCGGTCATGTCCTCTTAAACCAGTAATAATTCTCACAGCAGCATTTTGTGCCAACTGAATGTGATGCAGGGAAGTCTGTGTAATATTATATGTGCAAATGTAATGTTTTTCATTTTGATCTTTGACGTACAACTCTCATGTCTCCACAGCATTCAGGACGGTTTTATGAAGAGCTTCCAAACACAGCAGATTATGTGAGCTACAGACTGGCCTGTAACAAGGAAGACTACCCCGAGCCCTACTCCCCTCCCATCAACCCCCCTCTGTCATTTCTGCCCCAGCACCCCTACCACTCCTCACAACCAACCACCACGACCAGCAGCAGCAGCACCGACATGTCGAAAAACACCTTCTCTCCTCCCTCACACACCACAGCCATCTTTAAATACCCCTCAGTACCTGGCCTGTCTTCTCCTCCACCGGGAGTGGCGGCATACACATTTCCCAAAGAGCAATACGTCTGAACCGGCACCTTGTCAGGAACTCAAACCTCTGCTGTGAGCTCAGATGAAACGACCTGATTAAAACCCAAACCTTTCCAAGGAGGAGGTTGGAGAAATATGTTGAACCCTGGACTGTCAGGAGTTGTCTCTGCACTTGTCTGCACTGTTGTGGACGGCTCTGGAACTCGAAAAGACAATGATGCTTTTGTTTTGAAGCATTTTCTCTTTCGTCCTATATTTTGCTGTGGCATCTAATCTTTGAAAAGGGAAGATTGTTGAACCGTGCTTTAGGTTAGAGAAAGACGATTTGACTTTCTGTGGAATGAATTTATATTGCATGGATGTATTATTTACTTTAAACAGAATGTATGGGATTATCTCTTGATGTGGCTGACAATGAATTTATCCTCCTTTGTATCATTTTGTAAAAAAAAAACAAAAAAAACCAACAAAAAATGATTACGGTTTCCTCCTCTATCTCTTAAGTCAACTCTCTCTTTATCCTAGCTGTGTTGTGCACTCTGACAATCCCAGACCTCATCTTCTGGTTGTACCCTCTGTCCTCATGTTGTACTTTTACTGTGCTTGTATTTTGTATGATTTATGTTTTTCTTTGCAAAGAAAACAACGTTTTTATTTACTGAAGACATTTTGGAGATTTATGACGTTGATGTTTTTATTCGTGGTATCTGTGGATTTTAGTATTCATTGACACTGGCTGTTGAATGAACTGTGAATTTTTAGCATTTGCTGTAAATAAAAGCTATCATGTGAACTTGTATCAGTGGTGTACACTTGACTGCAAACTGTAAGTCCTCTACTCTATTCTTT